ACTGGGGGTTGATCGACGTCTGCGGGCCAGGAATCGTGCTTGCCGGTGGGGGTGGAGAGGCGACGGCTCCATCCACAGTAGGAGATGTTGAGACCGGGCTTTGAAGCTGCTGCATGTCGTAGTTATCGGCATCACAAGGCCCCGTTCCTGACCCGACACCGTTGCTCGTGCTGGGCTGTGGGGGACTGCCATCGCGTGCAGTGGCTTTTTTCTTGGGAGGCACTTTCCTGATTACAGGAGCGTGGAGCGCCAGATTGTTGATAAGCCCCTTCCTCACTGAAAGGGTGAAAACGACAGGTGTTAAAAGTGCTACAAATGGCGGTTTTTACAGCGAGTGCCAAACTTAAACTGGCACCTAAAAGCACAACATGGGCAACACGGATCAAAAGATAGAAAGCATCACCTGCGCCTTTGTCGTGGAAGGGAACAGCCGTGAGAGTACAACCCCATTACACCACTTGTCCCTTTTCCTACTTCCTTTCTATTTCATTTCTCTTTTTATCTCATCTTATTTGGTTTCCTATTCTCCATTTTCCATTATCCTTTGGTTTATCCTGCTATTATAATTATATCACAGACCAGGCTTGGGATGTACTGGCGCGCTATATCTAGCGTAATCCTGCTGTAATCCCTTAAAGCCAATAGCCTCGCGTGGCTATACGCAGGGTGATTCTATTTTCTAGAAGGGTCTATTCCCTTGGATAGGATAAACCTGGTTACCTGATGTACTCTGGAAGTATAAAAGTGCCTTGTATTCATCGATAGTGCAATCTTTCCTCGACACATTCGATCCTGTGACAACATCGCTATTGGTGGTCACGGAACCATGCGCAGTAGGAGCAGCATTAGGGATGCCGTCACTAGCGTCAAGGCATGCTTGTGCAGATGCCGCTGCAGCGGCCCAGCGGCTACCTCTAGCAGTTAGTGAACGAGTGCCATTCCCCTGAGCACGGGATCGTTTAGGAACCGGTGCCATAACCGTAGAGTTGAGGAGGCTATGTCGCTAGCTGAAGGAAATATGGTGTCTCGTCGAATCAAGCACTCCATATTGATAGGAATAGTGGAGTGGCTGTGTGGAAGCGGTTCTCCCCAACACTCATCAGGGAATGTTCCATTAAATACCAGTAGGATGTCTAAATAGAGTGGTAAATGCATCGCTGCGAATGATCAGTGTAGAGTCGTCGCTGGCATGGAGTTGGGCGCGAGGGGAGATGAGGCAAAATTTGAAATTACGAAAAATCAAACCCTTGAAAGTTGCTCTACTTGTGTGTCTGTGGGAGGCCACGGGTGGAAGGTAACGTGGTTTGAAGGGATGAGTCCTTCATGGTTGCTCACTCCGAACCCAGTCCGCGAGGCACCAATGATTATTGTGTAACTTCCCCAATCTCGGGCAGCCGACGATAGTGTAAAAACGAACGGTAGATATTGACCAGATCGACAAAACAGGTACTGGGGGTTGTGTCGAGGGCTTGTCTGTGCGGGGATTTTGCCAAACGACTGTGCGGAAAAGCAACAGCATCTTTTGTACAGTACCACCATGGATTCGCGGAAGCAAGGTGCTTGCGCCAGACGGAAAGCACAAGGGAAGCGGTGGTGAGTGCACACGGGGGACCAACGTGCGCGCCATCTGAGGACCCTGCTCGACACGACCGTGCAGCGTTCAGACTAGCATTTGCGGAGATCGGACGGTCAAAATCGGCACGATCGGGAGGTGATTTAGCAGTTCGTCTCTCCCACCGATGTACAGTACCGATGAAGTCACAACCCAGAATACTGTGCGCATCCCAGTGTGACAACATCGCAGGGGTAACGTGTATAGTACAGGCCTACCAACAAACAATAAAATGCAGACTGATTGTTGATAAACTGTCATATAAACAGCCACAAATGCACAGGATAGGTTGCGTAACATAGTAACTAACACGAGGAAGCGATCTGACGAACGAATGATGGGAACCCTCTGTGGGCACGCTGACAGCACACACCCAGGGTTGGGTTGATGGGACGCGCAACCCGCCAAATTCATTCCCTCGCCCCCAAACTCTAGAATCCTCCACCAGATTTTTGGGCAGGCGCGCATGCTGTGCGTAGAAGATCCACCACCTGTTTAGTCGACCGAGTGAGCGTGACATCTGATCTCGGCAGCTCCTACTGGAAATCCTGCCTTCATCGCCGCTTGTGACTTAAAGAAGTTACTCGTTGCATTCTTATAGTCCCCGTGTCCCATGAAGTAGACGACACGAAGCACGGAGCAGTCCAAGCATCAGACAGCAAGGGCGATAAGCTGGCTGCTGGCTGCAGCTTCATTCCGTCAAAAGAGGGCCAGCAAGTTAAATATCATATTTCTTTGTGGCAGCCTATGCAAGTGGAATATAGGATGAAAAGCCCAAGCAAGGACAGCTTGACAAGGAACGGCCCACGGAACATGGATGCCAGTGAAGTGTATCGCAAGAACGTCCTAGCGTAGATGCGCCATGGCACTGTGCACTGCGACAATAAGAAAGGACCTTGGTACAAGAAGGAGTACGCTACTTGGGCCTTCTCATTTGTTCCCTCGATCCTCTTCTCTTGCAGCGTTCTCGGGGAGCACGCTCCCTAGTGGGATAGCGTTGCCTGGCATGGGGTGGGATGGATAGGAGAGCGGGCACCATTTTAGCAAGAACCAGTAGGAGGAGACAATGGGGAGATACACGTTGAGTCAGCTTAGACTAGAGGGGTAAGCAGTGGGGAGAGTTTTAAAAGAAGGGGGAAAGGGTGCAGCGCACTGCAATTTGGAAGTGGATGGGAAACCAGCAGTGGGTTCAAATAAGAAGAGCATGGAGTGTCGTGGGAGTGGGGGAAGGTGTTGGGGGGGGGGTGTTGTTCTGAAGCAGGCGGGAAAGAGGTGGTGGGGGATCCGACAGCAGGGGGATGGCAGCAGCAGCAGTTGGGGGGTGTGGGGTAGGGGAGAGGGGGGGGGGGGGGGGGGGGGGGGTCTGAAGCAAGTGTAAAAGCAGCAGCATTGGTTTCATGGGCAGAGAGGAAAACAGCGGCGGGGGAGACAGAAGTAAGGTAAACGCAGCGATGTGGGTTTCTGCAGCAAGGGGGAGAAGAGATGGTGGGGGATCCAAAAGCAAGGGGATGGCAACAGTGGGGGTTTCTGCAGCAAGGGGGAAGGATGTGGTGGGGGATAAAGAAGCGCGGGGGTGGCAGCAGTGGGGGTTTCTGAAGCAAGGGGGATGGAGGTGGTGGGAAATCCTGAAGCAGGGGGGTGGCAGCAGTGGGGGTTTTTGACGCAAAGGGGAAGGAGGTGGTGGGGGTCATGAAGCAGGGGGATGGCAGCAGTGGGGGTTTCTGAAGCAAGGGGAATGGAGATGGTGGGGAATCCTGAAGCAGGGGATGGCAGTAGTGGGGGTTTCTGAAGCAAGGGGGAAGGAGGTATTGGGGGGTCATGAAGCAGGGGGATGGCGGCAGTGGGGGTTTCTAAAGCAAGGGGGAAGGAGGTGTTGGGGAATCCTGAGGCAGGGGGATGGCAACAGCAGCAGTTGAGGGGGGGGAGGGGGGTGGGTCTTGTAGGGGATAGGGGGGGGGGGAGGGGGGGGGTTGTTCTGAAGCAAGTGTAAAACCAACAGCGGGGGGTTTATGGGCAGAGAAGAAACAGCAGCGGGGGGGACGGGAGCAAGTTAAACGCAGCAATAGGGGTGTCTGAAGCAAGGGGGGAAGGAGGTGGTGGGCAGTTCTGAAGCCTGGCTGGAAACATGCAGTGGGGGCAGTAATATTTGAGCCAATAGTGGGGGGGTGGGGGGGGGGGGTGGGGGGTTTGGTAAGAAGGCGGGTCTCCAGCGGTTGAAGATACGGAAGGCAGGGGAAAGCAGCAGTGGGGCGTTGAAAAGGGGCCCAGAGCCCTGGTGGGGGATGCTGAAGCAGAGGAAGGGCATGGGGGTGGGGGAACAGGAGGGTGATGGTTTTTGAAGCAGGGGGGTATGCAATGGAGAAAGCTCCTGTGCTGGAGCAGAGGGGAAACCAAGGGAGGTGGACGGGCGTGGAAGCTTGCTGGAAAATGGCTGATAGTGTGTCTCGCGAGTGAGCTGAAGGATTACTGAGGGAGTATGGCAGTCTCAAATTTGCTGGCGATACTTGTACATAGAAATACTCTCAGACCCCACCCCTTAGACTGAGTGGGTAACACATGGCAGAGGCCATGGCAGAGTTGCCATTCCTGGGCTGCACATAGCGGCAGGGATACCTTGGCGCTGGGCATCCCATTCCAGGAAGGGGACTTGGGCTTTCGCGCAGCGAGATCAGCGGGTCGGAGTGGCTCTGGTCAGTGCAACGCGGGGGCTGACATGACCGTACCTCACGGCTATTATATTTGCCTCTAGTCATCCACCCTATACCATGAGCGGCGTCCCTGATTATGTACCCTCATGCCCCTCCCATCACATTATTATTCTGCCGCTCAATCTTATGTCCATCTTGTACTCCTTTTCATCCATACTGCCTATGATCGATTTTTCATCTCCTTCCTCAAATCCCCTGCTACCCCCTCGTTACAGGGCAACATCGGTCCACGCAACGGCAGCGTAGTCCGCCCCGCGTGTGCGTCTAGCGTCTCGGTCGTCATCGCGTCTGTACCAAGGGTGGCGGAATTAAGGGGAAGTTGATCTTCTTTGACGATTTTCACTAGCACGCATGGCGGGAACCTAGGAACTTGTTATGGCCGCCAAATGAGAGCAATACAACTCCTGCGGCGTATGCGTTAGGGAGACTTTGGCGGGATTTGGAAAATCCGCCATGCCCAATCAAGCGTGAAGCGTAGGTGATGCCCATACCCTGTGCACACCATCCTCTTATTTGACAAGTTGACCCCTACACATTTTACAATACTGTACCTCCTATTACTAATTCCTCAGTATATATAGGCATAATATAGCATAACCAAAAGGAAGAGCATCTTGGTAATATCTATAATCACATCGTGGTACCGTATTCCCCCGGATATACGCACCACCAGCTAAAACGCACCATGGTGCGTATATCCGGAGGGGTGCCATATCGGATGTGCCAACAATACGCACCCCCCATTTTCCATATTCTAATCCCTATACGCACCCCCCTTTTCCCCCCTGTGGGAATCTTGCGCTGACTATGTTGACTGTACATTTCGCGTCAAGTTTACGTGACGAATCACTTCATCACACAAAATCGACCCCTGACCTTCCGATTCATCGAAGGTGTGGTCAGCAAAGCTCTGCTGCCGTGCCAGACGAGAGAACGGATGGCCAGGATCGCCCCCGCTAGCTTGCGCGCTGGCAAACTGCAGCGAACGTGCTGCTTGGCTGACGCGTCAATCGTATGGGAAACGATTTTGGCGGGACTGCTCTGGTTGTTCCCGCTTGGGAGCATTCCATTCGATTGCAAATTGTTCTAGCTACAACTTCATGTTGGTTTCAAAATTTGCCTTCCGAACGTTTTTAACGCACCGTGCCATATCGAAAAAATCCAATTAAACGCACCCCAATTTTTTTTACCATAATCCCTATAAGCACCTAGGGGCGTATATCCGGGGGAATACGGTAGTATTGAAGGGCTCAATTTTGTCACAGCGTGAATATACCATAAATGTCTCTTGAAAATACTGAAGGCTCATTTCTGTCACGGTTTAACAGGGTTAATATAGCATCCACCTGTATGCGTCGATCAAAGTACTATTTTCTACTTTGTTACAAATCTCTGTACTCTAAACGCTCACGCAGTACCGAAGTTGGGGGGTGTATTCCTGGCATGTTTGGTGGGTGTTGCATTAGTGCTGTAAGAATGCACGGGGCTTCTTTACGCACACCCTGGCCACTCGTCGACTCATTCCCACAACTATCCCTCGCACAACATACACCGAACTATGTCACAAGCATATTAGGGCGTGTGACCTCCCAGTCCGAACAACGCCAGAATCTAAACAGAACGTCTGGTTATGACTTTCGCCAAAGTCGCGAAAGTCGTCCCAAATGTGTGGAAAAATCGGTGGAAAGCCCGAAATGCGAGGACACGGGCCGTTCGAATGGTGGCAATCGAACGGTCAGGCATGCACCGTTCGAACGGCGCTCCCTCTCGCGTTACAAAATCCTGACGAACACCTGCGAACTCCAAAATCAGCCTCGAGAGCCTGTGCGACGTAAAAAACGCGTCGTCGAACCCAAACCACAACCCAACCTCCTGCGCAAGGATTCCCGAAGCTGCGGAGACGCGGGGTAGACATTCCCCACCAACTACACCTCCATAAGCCTCCAATTTCAGCCAGCTTCGGAAGTCAACAAACCGATCGACCTTGGGGGGAATGGGAGGCTACGACATTTTGCGAGAGTTGCGAAGGGTGTTTCGTCGCACATCATCATCTGCATTCGAACACTCAAACTTCAAAGTTGGGTCCTGACGGCACAACAGTTGCGTATGAGATTTTGTATGATTTTGAAGGTTTGTACGAATCAGTGATCAGCTTGTTGGAATGGGTTCTAAATTTGAAATCGTTCAAAATTCAAGCAAAACTGTAAGGAATTTTCCATTCCTTACCGAGCGGTACACCCGAAGCCTCGGGACGGTTCCGGACCTTTCTGACAAAACCGCCTCGGCTTCTCCAGACCTTCTAGCTCGACCTTTGCGAGTTCTCCGGGCCTCGCTTCGTCACTTCGAGACCGTTTGATCTCTTTTCCGAACCTTCACATCTCATGGTTAGACTAGCTCTGGTGTTCCTATATTTTGGCTTCCATTCCTTGTATCATCATTCAGTGATTCAGTATTTTGACTTCGTTAATCATTTCCGCGCTACTCTGCATGTTCATTCATAAGGCGTGGTATTTAGAGCCACTTTCCTCGCTCACCCGTTTTTCGTGAGTTGATTTTTTGGGGGGGGGGGTAAGTCCCTCATGTAAGCTGCAAAGCACTTGCCTTCGAATTAGACTGATAAATTCGTCCAACTCTGATAGTGTTTGCGCTTACCTGAGTACAGTGTTAAATTATATAAGTTATTATATAAGTGTAGGCTGGGTAGATGTTACTGAACATTACTGTAGAGGGTACAACACCCCTCCTTGTATCCCTCTCTCTTCTTTCCTTGTTCTCTTTTCTCTCCTCAAACTTCACGCCTACCTCCTAGATCTAGATCTCACGCCATATTCATGGCTTCTCCTGTTCATACCTAGCCTATCTTCTCGATATGGTATCAGAGCAGGACGCCCTTCCCGGGCCTGCTCTCCACGCTTCCGCCGCGTACTCGTCCTTACCGTGACGCCGTCGCGGCCTTCTGTCCGTTTGCTGCCGTCGCGGCCTTCTGCCTGTTCGCCGCCGTCGTGGCCTTCCTACTGCCTGCCGCCGTGGCACCGTTTCCAAGATGTCGCGGCGGCCCCTGCGTGCTGTCGGCCGAGCGTCGACGAGCAGCTGCGGCGACGACGCCACGCTGTGGTGGCGCCGTCGTGGTGCTGTGGCTGCGACGTCAGCCTGCTGCCGTCGCGCACGACCTGCGTCGCTGCTGGAAATGCAGCCCGCCCGCTCGCCAGTAAGCGCCGCGCCAGCAATGGCGCCGCGCTGAAGATCTGAAGCCCCGCCCCTTCCCCCTTTCCTCTGTCCCCTCCTCTTCGCCACAGCCGCCGTCAGACTCTCACCGGTCGTTCCCCTGGTGCGGAGTTTGGACACGCCGCCGGAAGGGCGGGGGCCACTGCCGTCACCGCCGTCGTAAGCCGAAGCCGTCGCCGTCGCCGCTGTCGTCGCCGCAGGCCTGTTGCCGCCGCACGCCCGTCGTCGCCGTCGCTGTCGCCGCTGCCGGGACTGTCGCCGTCGCCATCTCCAAGGCCTTGGGGTTGGCCCTGTTGGAGTCCTCGTGGCTGATGGGAATGGGGGTGCTAGGTTAGGGGGTGTGGGGGTGTGTGGGTCCTTCTACTACCAAGTCTAGGGGGTGTGTTAAATTATATAAGTTATTATATAAGTGTAGGCTTGGTAGATGTTACTGAACATTACTGTAAAAGGGTACAATACCCCTCCTTGTATCCCTCTCTCTTCTTTCCTAGTTCTCTTTTCTCTCGTCAAACTTCACGCCTACCTCCTAGATCTAGGTCTCACGCCATATTCATGGCTTCACCTATTCCTACCTAGCCTATCTTCTCAACATACAGGCACACTACGGATTTCCCCTTGCCCCGACGGAGCATTCGGCAAATGGACCAAGCTCGGTTCAACGAGCTTCGGGAGCAGTTCAACGCCATGAACACACGCATGGCTACAGTTCTGGAGGAAATTAGCGACTTCGTGCAGAAGCTGCCGAGTTACGCCAGGCGCGAGAGGATTAGTGCCAGAAAGCTGCCGCCCAAGTTGAGGTCGCCAGCACTGGACGCGTCGAAACCGTTTTGGATAAAATCATGCGTGAGGTGTCTCAGGAGCGTAAGGAGAACGAAACTGCCGCAGCAGTTGACGTGGCAGCACGACCAGCAGTCGAAGCAGCAGCAGCAGCAACAGCAGTAGGCACCCGATCAAAAGCAGCCGCTACTGTAGCCGCACCGGCAGTCGTGCCGATAGTGACGACAGCAACAATCAAAACGAAAATGTCGCCCCCATTCAACCCCACAGATAAGAATATTACTGTTATGGGCTGGTTATTTTCGACGGAACTTTATTTTAATACCGCAGGGATCACTGCTGACGATTTAAAAATTCGGCTGGCTGTATCACTACTGCGGGTACCTGCACTAGATTGGTGGTGATATACACTACAAGAGGGGGGGTTTTTGGCAGGCAACACACAGGGGTTTTTCGAAAACTTTGGGTCTGCGGCCCAAGGGTCAACCACGATTTTTTTATCGACCAAGATTTGCACGTGGAAGGCGTGGGGTACAGCTCTGCGTGAACGATTCGAGCCAATAGCCGCCTTGGACAGTGCACGTATGAAGCTGGAGAACTGGCGCCAGTGGAGTTCTGTCCAAGATTACGCGTCCGTCTTCATCGCGTTATGTGATCAAATCCCTGACATGCATGACTCCGAGAACAAGGCTCGATGAATTTCGGGCCTAAAGCAGGCCATTAAATGCAAGGTTCGCTTGCGACTACCGGCGACGTTTCGATTGCAGACAATTTCGACAAGCGTCGAACGTATGCGAGAGGGGGTTCCCGGAAGGGAAATCGTTTTCGCGGCTAGGATCCACGGCCCACGATTCACGGCGTAGTGGCGAAGGAGCACATGGAAGATTTTTGCAAGGGACAATGTTTCAACTGCCACCAGCCGGGTCACCAATCTCACGGTTGCCCCCGAAAGAAACAAATAAAGAAACGACGAAGGCAGGTCGGGAAACGCCAAGCGTCAGTAGCGGTCGGGCCCCCTACTGACCCTGCCTCATCGCCCAAAAAACACCATCCCCACCGGGTGGTAGTTCCAATACACGTAATCAACCGCTCCTGGCTGAATAAGTGGGATGACCCAGTGGACCACCCTGTGCTGGCGGAAGGACGACTCAACGGAAGAAGAAATAACATATTTATCGACGGAGGTGCGAGTTACAGCTTGATAAATCGGGAGATAGCACGAAAACTACACTAATCGTTGGAGCGGTGTCTGCCCAAAATAGACGCAAGACTGGTGGATGGCACCCCGTTGGCAATATGCGACAAAGTATCAATCGCTCGGATGAAGTGTGGCGAAGACTTCGGCTTCAGCGCGCCCATGCTAGCGACAACACTTGATTGTACGATGTGCTATTGGGACGCAATTGGCTGCGAAGATTCAATCCACAGATCGATTGGATAGCAGGCGAGTGCACAGTGAAGTGCGAAAAAGGCTGGCAAAAATTACCAACGTGGCCGGAAGCAGAGACAACCTCAACACGAGTCAACGCTGTGTGCCTCAAGCGAGCGGTCAAGAATGGAGCGGATTTATACGCCGTCCATCTAATCGAATCAACGGAGCAGAACGAGGCGACCGACATCAACAAACTCTGCGCTTCGGTCCTGGATGACTTGGCAAAAAATATTCAGGAATATCCCGAGATTTTTTCAGACGACTTGCCAAGTGGACTGCGACCCGAACGACCCCAAGACCACGAAATCAAGCTGGAGCTCGGCACGCAGCCTACTGTACGAACTCAATGGCGCTTGACTCAGCCTGAGCTACACGAATTACGGAACAAACTTGACTACCTGCTGGCAAAAGGGTTTATTCAGCCGAGCACGTCCCCGTTAGCAGCACCGATCCTGTTCACCCCAAAGAAGGACAGTGGACTTCGCATGTGTACGGACTATCGTGCCCTTAATCGGGTAACGATTAAATCGCGCTTCCCAATCCCACGCACGGACGAGCTGATTGAAAACCTTCACGGAGCTCGCTACTTTTTGAAGTTCGACCTTCGTGGCGGTTACCATAAAATTCAGGTGTTCGCTGACGACTGCCACAAGACCGCGTTTTATAGTCGTTGCGGGAGTTACGAGTACACGGTGATGTCATTTGGATTAACGAATGCCCCCTCGACATTCCAGCTCACCATGAACGGGGTGTTCCGCGATCTACTTGACAAATGTGTGATAATTTACTTGAATGACAACCTGATCTACAGTAAGACCCGGGAGCAACATTTAAAGGATTTGGAAGCGGTTTTTCAATGGCTGCAGCAGAATCGTCTCATCACCAAGGGCTCCAAGTGCAAGTTTTTAAAACAAGAACAGGAGTTCCTGGGGCACGTGATCTCCACGGAGGGGATTCAAATAGACCCGAAAAAACTCAGGGCTATTCAGGAGTGGAAACTGCCAACAAAGCTGCAGCAACTACAATCATTTCTAGGTTTTGTGAATTACGTAAGGTGGTTTATACCCTTCGTGGCGGGGTTAATTGGACCTCTAACCAGCCTACTGCATAAGGGAGCTTCTTACGAATGGGGGGAGAAGCAGCAAGCTACGTTCGAGGCATTAAAAACTATTTTAATTTCGCCACCCGTACTTCGCATCGCTGACCCGGAACGGCCCTTCGAAGTCATCACCAACGCAAGTGACATCGCCATTGGAGCAGTGCTCATGCAAGTTTTCGGCAGTGGTCTTCAACCAATCGTGTACGAGTCTCGGACAATGCAATCTGCTGAGTGCAACTACCGGGTTCACGACAAGGAGATGCTGGCGATTGTCCACGCGTTCAAAATCTAGAGATGCTACCTGACTGGAGCAGACGTGACAGTGCGAACAAGCCATAAATCCCTACAGTACCTGAGGGCATAGCCAAATCTTAACCCGCGGCAGATACGCCGGTTGGACTATCTGGAGTCCGACTTCACGTACAAGATCACGTAAAAAAAGGGTGCCAACAATATTGCTGACGCCCTCTCCAGACCGTCTACCCAACTCGCAGCAGTACTAGTCGCCCAGAGCAACCCGCTACTGAGTAGACTATTTACCCACGGGTATTCGACTGACCCCTTATTCGTAAATAATGGCCATCTCCCAATCACTACACGAAAAGGCGTCTATTACTTACGAAGCGGGAGGGATCGAATTCGGGTCCCAAGTTATCATCTACTTCGCGAATTACTAGTTCAAGAAGTCCACGATTAGAATTTATCGGGACATTTTGGGGTTGAGAAAACTCCGAAGGCGATGCAACTGTTTTATTACTGGCCAGATATGGTGACGGGCGTGCAACGTTACATGGCCGCATGTCCGATCTGCCAGCGAATGAAATCATCACATCAGAGACCGACAGGTCTGTTGCAGCCTCTCAAGCCACCTCAACGCCCATGGCAACACGTGACGATGGATTTCGTCACAGGTCTGCCGGCCGGATTCAGCAAAAACGACTCAGTATTGGTTGTCGTTGACCGATTGACGAAAATGACGCATTTTGCACCATGTCGTACAACCATCATAACCGAAGAAACCGCGCGACTGTTCATCTCGACCGTTTTTCGCCTACAGGGGATACCAGGAGCAATCATTAGCGATCGAGACCTGAAGTTCACGTCGACACGTGGGCTCGGTACGGCATGCGCCTGCAATTCTCATCCGCTTATCATCCCCAAACGGACGGTCAGACAAAGAGGACAAACCAAACGATGGAACAACTGATTCGGACAAACTGCCCCGACCGAAACAAATTGGAGGACACGCTTCCCATGTTGGAATTCTCCTACAACAATGTGCCATCAGCTACGACTAATCATTCCCCGTTTTACCTCAATTACGGGATGGACCAGACGGTACCTACTGTATCTCTACCAATGTTGAGAGTCAAGTACCACGGTCGCAGCAGTTCGTCGAAGAATTACAGTCTGCCCGAGGCAAAGCTGTCGAACTTATTCGCAAGGCGAACGCTACTCCTCGACGGTATGCGGATTTACATCGACGGGATATTACAATGGCAGTAGGGGAACTAGTCATTTTGGACACCAAAAATGTACGGCTGCCACTACCGACGAAATTACGACAACGTTTCTGTGGCCCATTCAAGATCATGAAGATGGTGACGCCGGTAACCGCCCAGTTACGCCTGCCTGGCGATTGGCGTATTCACAACAAGTTCCACATAAGCCTGTTGCGACCCTTCGTACCGGACACGTCGGACATCGCTCAACAACGATTGGTCCCGGATGTAGCCACCAGCAGAGACGACCATCGAGCCTTCGAAGATTTTGAGCCATCGGATTCGTATCGACAGCCAAGGACGACACGTTGACTTTCTGATACGATGGACCAATCGTACCAGTGAGGACGACACGTGGGTGCTCTCGGACCAGATACAGTCTCTTTTGATACTTACAAATTATTTGGCCCACAAGCACGTGGCTGACATAGATCACCTTCGCTGAAAGGGGGGGTGGTGTAAGGAATTTTCCATTCCTTATCGAGCGGTACTGCTATCGCATACGCTCGAACACACCCGAAGCCTCGGGACGGTTCCGGACCTTACTGACATAACCGCCTCGGCTTCTCCAGACCTTCTAGCTCGACCTTCGAGAATTCTCCGGACCTTGCTTCGTCACTTCGAGACCTTTCGATCTCTTTCCCAAACCTTCACATCTCATGGTTAGACTAGCTCTGATGTTCCTATATCGTGGCTTGCCATTCCTTGTATCGTCATGAAGTGATTCAACACTTAGTTATTCATTCACGCGCTACTTCGCTTGTTCATTCATAACAAAAACCCTCACATGTCACACACCCTTAGGAAACGTTTTCTACCACGAAACAAGGTGACGTACAGTTCTTTATGGACGAACGGGGTAACCAGCTCTCTCGTCGCAACTGAACAGTCCGAACGAAGCGACAGTAGCGAACTCTGCGAGCTCGCAACTCGCTTTGCAGGTCGCTGAACTACTAAGACGGGGGGAGGGAGGCCGAGAAAAACTAGGACGCAATCAAGCACAAGAAGGGCCGTTCAGAGAAGTTTCAATCGACAGGGTTACCACCTTGGGAGATTGTTCAGGACACGTGATCCTTGGTGTTGAAATTTGCGCGAGCAAGCTGCAGGGCGCTCGCTACGCAAAAATGAACGAAAGCTGTCCCTCGACTGGTGCACCCACCTGTCCACTGGTCTGGACCGTGAAAACTGCAATTATCGAAGCAGAAGGCGGTCTGGGTGTCAAACCTGTCGTCTCAAACATCATCAAGCGCCTTCCTTGCCTGAGATTTTGGTGCGATATGTCAGAATGCTCACACAAGCCTCAGGTTCAACACAGAACATATGTGCTGCACGTTCGTATTGAGTCCTGGCCTCTAGCTTTGGGTAGGTCGAACATGGCTCGGTCTCCCCTTGGCGCGGAAACTGAGACTTGGGGGTACGAAACGACTGGTGGCTGGTCTGCCACTGGCTCTTGCGTAGTTTGCGGGCAGACAAAAGAACCACCAGATGCGATTCGTCACTGCAAGCCGCCATCATCGAAGGGCAGCAGCAAATGACGATGAAGAAGAGTCATCGAGATTCGCCACCGAGCCAAGGCCGAGCCAGCACACAGTTTGAGTTTTGCTACCTAGCCTGGCCATTTTCCCGCGTCCCATCACAAACCTGCAGAGCAAAGCCCCTGCCAACCAAACCAACTCCAATACCATTCCCCACACCTGACTCGTCCCCTACCTCGCACACTTGGATCTGAAATGTCCGGGCCTGCGCAGAACAGCAACCAACTGAACTACCAGAAGAAGCAAAGCGGAGCAACCCGCCATGGCTGCTATTGCTCCCTTCAAGGGAAGCACCACCAGCCATTGCACGCACGAGGACGGGACAGCTGCTCCTCAGCTCTAGCCACTGTCACAAACACTCTGCGGCCGGACGCCTTTCGTCGCGCTCGCATTGGCCTTGGCAGTTCCACCACTCTGTAGGCGCCGTCTACCCATTATCTTCCGTTCACGTAGCCCGCGAGGTCTCATTGCGCAGCGTTCGTCCCTCTAAGCCTGTCCGTTTCGACTATCCGGTAACTGCCCACAAACCATGGGCAACGCAGTCCCCTAGTAGCGCCAGCAGAATCCAACAGGATTGAGCGGATAGCAGTCTCCATTATCAGTAATTAGTCATTCGCGCCGCGCCTCGCGATGGACGACTCGAGGGTGGGAGTACAGCGGAAATCAGGCCTCGCCCTCCATGGCCGCAGCATCAGCGCAAAGGAGTCGAGCCGCGTGCTGCTTGCGGGAGCTCAAGCGTCCGAAAGCCTCACCCGCACGACCACCCTATACCATCCCACCCACGCCTACAGCCACTACCCACCGGCGGACGAACCAAACCTAGCTTCGGTAGACTTCCGAGCCTGGCTCGCAGACCAGGTGAAGTTCAGCCGGAGCCTCGTCATCCCGCAGGTCCCGGAGAAGCCGAGCTTCCTCGAGACGTTCGCGCCGTTCAAACTCTTGGGGCGCGTGGGGAGCAAGAAGGCGCAGTGCACGGTGGCGATGCACGTGCACGGGGTGGACAACTTCCCCAAGGACTTTGAGGGCAAGGAGCTCGTCGTGCAGTGGCTGCGCCGCGGCATGTCCGTCGGCACGAGCCCCATGGTGGTCCACCGCGGCGTGGCGCGCTTCGAGCAGACGTTAACGATGTCGTGCACCATGTTCTTCAACGCTGGCGCGCAGGGGACGGTGAAGTTCAAGCGGAAGGCGTCCACGCTCTGCGTGCAGATGCTGAAGCCCTCCGGGATTGGCTACGTCGCGGAGCTCGGACGGCATTCCGTGGATCTAGCGAAGCTGCTGCCCGCGGCGCTGCACGAGAGGGAGGGCCAGCCGGTGACGCTGAGCTTCCAGCTCGCGGGGTTGGCGGAGGGGGCGGTCATGGTTGCGACGTTCGGGTACGAGTTACAACTCGCCCGAGGCGTTTCGTACATCGCACGAGTTGACACGAAGTCGTTCCGCCTGTACGCCGCGACCGCGATCGCCGCGGCCGCCGCTGCGGTGTCGCCCACCGGCAGCCCGCAGGGGAGCCCACAGGCCAGTCCGCGCGGCGGGAAGGACAATGACGAAGCGTCGCCGAAGAAGAAAAAGCTGTCGTTCTCCCTCTACCAAGCGCCGGCGGACCGCTCCGCTGCACCGCAGAGCGCGCGGGGCCAGGGGGACGCGCGCGGGACCCGCGCGGGCCCGCTGATGCGGATGATTTCCGGGGGGAGCGCGATGCGGACGGTGGTGGAGGAGGAGGAAGAGGAGGAGGAGAAGGCGAAGGGGAAGGAGACGCGGACGGCGGGGGGAAAGGGGCCAGGCGGAGTGGGTGGAGTGGAGACGGTGGGGGAGAAGGAGGCGAAGGGGGAGGGTGACGCGGTAGATCTGGCGGACGTTCTTGCGGAGGGGGAGGGGTTGAATGACGAGGAGGAGGAGGAAGAAGAGGATGATGAGGATGAGGAGGAAGATGAGGAGGAGGACGATGATGATGATGACGACGATGACGAGGAGGACGAGGAGGACGAAGAGGAGGAGGAGGAGGAGGAGGAGGAGGAGGGGGGTGTGGAGGTGAAAGAGGTGATGGCGGGATACGCGGTAGAGAGGGACTCGAGCATTGAGCGCACGGTGCGCGTGGATCCGGGCACGGCCGCCACCACGGCCACCAGCAGCGCGTTTTCAACCGCCTCTACCACCACGTTTGACTCGGCGAGCTCAACGGGCGACGGCAGGTCGCAGCAGTCGCAGGGGTCGCAGGGGTCGCGCATGGCGCAGGCGATGCGGGAGTTCGAGTGGACTCTGCAGGCGGAGCACTCGAAGCTGCACACAGCCGCGCCCGCGCCCGGGGACGAGCGCAAGGGGCTGGCGTGCGACGGCGACCTCGTGCTGAGCTGCGAAGACGCGTATAACGGGGATGCAGCGAAAGCGGGAGGCGGGGCAGGGGATGGGGGCGGGGCAGGGGATGGGGGCGGGCTGGAGGAGGAGATGGACCTGGTGTCGGACGAGCTCATGGAGCTGCTCTTGCTCTCGGGCGCGCTGGACGGTGGGGCGGGTGGGCTGGACGGCATGGGCGGCGAAGGGGATGACGAGGAGGATTTAGGCGTGGACGGAGGCCTGCTGGGAGTGGCGCAGGGGCTGCTGAGCCCCACGCGCCAGGCGTCGAGCCGAGTGGGGAGTAACAGTGTGAGTATGAGTGAGAGGGAGGGGGAGGGGGAGGGGGAAGGGAACTGGGCGGACGGGGGTGGGGAGGTGTCGTCTTTCGCAGGCGAGGAAGAGGAAGAGGAGGAAGAAGAAGAGGAGGAAGAGGAGGAAGAGGAAGAAGAGGATGTGTTTGACGGGGAAGGAGAGCGAGGAATGGCGATGTGCAATGGTGCTGGGAGGGAGGGAGCGCAGGAGGAGGAGGGGGGCGAGGGCGACGACGACGATCCGTTGTCGTTTATGGTGAGGGAGGCGGAGGAGGAGCAGCAGAAGGCGGAGATCGAGGAGAAGAGCCGCCGCAAGGCGCGCCTGCTGGAGAGCGAGGAGGAGGCGGCGCTCATGCTGCAGTTCCGAGGGAAGTCCGGTACTGGCGGTGCTGCTGCTGCTGCTGCCTTTGCTGCTGATCTTGCCCCTCCCACTGCATCCGCTGCTGCCGCTCCTGCACCTGCTGCTGCTGCTGCTGCGGCTGCGGCTGCGGCTGCAGCGGATGGTGATGCGGGTGGCTCCGCTGCTGCGGGCAGCAGCAGTGCGCTGGTGGTGGCGGGGAGAGGCAGGGGCGCGCCCAGCACCGCCTCAGCCTCCACCACTTCCGCTTCTTCTGCTGCATCTGCTCCCCCTGGTCGCAAGCGCTGGGGTGCAGCGGGGCCGCTGGCCCTAGGAGGGCGGGGCAGAGGCACCAGCAGCAGCAGCGCTGGCACGCTTGTGCCCAGTGGCCGCGGTAGGGGGACGCTGGGCGCGGGACGGGGGGCAGGGGGAAGGGGGCCGGCTGACAGTGCAGGAGAGAGTGAAACTGCTGGAGAGAGAGAAGGCAGGCGGGTGGCGCGAGGGGGGGAAGGGGTGGGGGGAGGAAGAGGAGGTGCAGAAGGGACTGGGAGTGGGGGAG